CCCGTTAATGTTTTCCTGCAACACTCGCGTATCCTACTCATGTAACACTTGGGAGGGGATGGGCGCCGGGACCTCATCTCCCCACTCCGCGGCTCTGGGCCACCCATCGTTTCCTGAACGTCATGGGATGGGCATCAAAACCGAGCATCAACCACCTCACTGCTGCTTTCCTAATACTCCCGGCTCTCCCTGAATCCCTGGCTTGCTCTCTGGACCGGTGCAGTCAGGAAGGACTGCGGAACAAACGCCTTTCCAAGCCGGCGGCGTTTGATGGAGCCGGGGAAGGATTCGACGACCCTGGGCAGCCCTTGGCACTTGTAATTTAGTTTTTTTAAGCCATGAGAGCTCAGCACCAGCCCAACAGCCGCAGGCGAGGAGAGACTCGGCAGATGATCCCCTGCCGCATCCCACCATGTCCCACCGCGTCCCAGTGCGTCCCCCGGCACGCCAGGGCTGCCCCCCCCCTCCCCCAGCCCTTCCCGGGGTGGAAGGAGCTTTGAAGATGAAGACTCGGGAGACGATTGATTGCAGCCACCTGTTTTAATCATGATTTAAATTAGCAAAGCAGAAAGCTTGGTTTAAATGATCAGCTTTAATCTTGTTTCTCGTTTGTACATTTTATTTATTTTCTTAACTCGATTCTTCGTGGTTGGTAACCACTAATCTGCAGGTTTACTTCTTTTACAGCTCCTTTTTTTGCTAAAGAGAAGAAAACACTTTATGTATGCGAGGTTACGTAAGCAGTTATGTAGCTTAACGTATATTTATGGCAATTCTTCCTCTTTGCATTTTATTGTTACGATACAGGGAATGATGCATTTCTTTTTTATGAGATGATCATTAATTGTGGACTCACAATGTGTGCCATGGTCTATTCAGATGGAAACTGGTTTTCAATTTAAGATGCCCAAAAACCAGCAGCAAAAATGGTTTTTATTAGTTAAATAAAATCTTTTAAAATGTGCTAGCTACAGATGAAAAAAATAAGCTTATCTGAGCATGCATTTAAACCTGATTTCCTAAACAAGATAAGTACTATCTGCAATGAGGGAGCTGAGCGCTTTGTTCCCCATTTTCATATTCTTTATGGTTTTAAAATTAGTATATTACTTAGGCTTTATTCACAGGCAGGAAAAGGCAAATGAGCTTTCCCAGTTTTTCTCATCCCAAATTCCTCAGCTTTGTAATGACTAAATTAGTGGAAAATGTCGATGCAGAGAGGTATTTATTTTGCCTGCACTTTTGGAGGGTAGCGATGCTGGCAGGCGCTGGATCCGGCCCTTCAGCCAGAGCCTTCCAACGCTTCGGTGGTTTTAGAGCTTCTTTATAGAGCTGACAGCAGCCATGGGCTGCTTCACATTTTTATACAAGCTACTTAAATTACAGCAGGTTAGGTCTCAACAATACACTTCTCTATTTTTAATAGAGTATTTTTTTTGGGAAAGAGAAACCGGTCTGAAACCAGAAACGCTCCAAAAATAAAGGTGGCAACCCAACACGGCAGAGCAGGCAGGGAGCACTTCAGCCCCGAATCTTTCCAGACACCAAAGTATTAGTATTAGTATTAGTATTAGTATTAGTATTAGTATTAGTATTTATTAGTATTAGTAGTATTATTTGCCGCAGCACCGAGTCCAGTCCATAACTTCTCTTTCTCCTTCCTGGGAAGGGGAGTTTTTCCCTATTTGCAGGTAGGAGCTGACAGTAATTGCCCACCACTGCCTGGCTGGTGTCTTCACTTTAACAATGCCACACAAAATAAATGGCCCCGTGTTGTTACCAACAGTTTTCTGGGTTATATTATCTCATGGAGAAGAATTCTGCAGATTGCACATAAAGAGGGACAACGTCACCCTAATACAAATAACGAATTATTAGCATCATGCTAATAGAAGTGTCCTCTGGGTGGGTAAGCTCTCGGTTTTTTGGAGAGGCTGGAGCAGTTTTCAGGGCAGGTCCTGGGGCTTCGCTCCTACAGGGCAGCGGTGCTGGAAGGGAGCTCCCTTGGGTGCGGAGGCATTACTTGGCATTTCCAGGGACCGCGTCTCCTGTGGCTCAGGGGTGCCCGAGGACCAGCTCTGGTCCCCATCTCAACACGGGGACGTTTTGGGAGCTCCTCGTGGGTCTGGCTGCAGATGCGCCATCTGCCTTCATCCCTGGGCATCGCTCTCACTGCAAAAATTTGACAATAAAAAAAGGGAAAAGAAAGAAAACATGAAAACAAGGCACTTCTGTGCTTTCAATTTTCCGGCAATTGGCGACAGCTTAATGTGTATGTATCTCTAACGCTGTTTTATGAGCTCCAGTCCCACTGGCATAATTTTTTTAAAACCCCTTTTCCAGTGTAATTGCTGTTTGTTTTGTCATTTCTCAGTGGACAATAACAGTTCAAAAACAAGAGTGCCTTTGAAGATTGCAAGCGGCGTATGCAGACTTCATTAATACACTATTAATACACTATTGAAATGCACTTGAACTCTACCTGCCCGAGGCCTGAGACATAAAAATCTGGCTTTGCAAAGCAATCATTATTTGATCTATTTAAAATAATCCCAGTCCTAGCCTGGTCTCCTGGATACATTTCAACGTCAGCAGTTTGGAAGGCTGAAATATCTCCCGTAGGTTTGTTCCGTTACTTGGTCATTCAAAAAAACCCCAATGCTGCAAAGAATAATCCTATTTTTTTCTAGAGGAGGGAAAAGGAGAGACAAACCTGACCGTGGTGTGGGACACCTCGCCTGGCTTGTCCCAGGACAGGGTGCTTTTCCTGCATCTGATAGTGGGAATAAAGTAATGGGAAGAACAGAAGGAGCTTTTGATTCAAACAAGCAGCAATCCAGCCAAGAGCAGCCAGGGTCACCCCGCGAGCTCGTCAGGTACACGATGCCTTCGCGAATGTGTTGGGAGACTTTCCAAGCCCTGAAGGTGCAATGATGTCAAAAGTCAGAGGAGCTGCTAAAAAAAAGAGGAAAAAAAGCAAGTTTCCTGGCTAGCTCCATTTTACCGTTTCTCCTGTAAGAGAGCGTTTGCCCTGGTATGTCAGGGGGTTCATGGTGCTCATCACCCATCCGTCCGTCTGTCTGTCCATCCATCCGTCCACTTGAGGCTTACTTAGGTGTTTAATTGCTCATCAGGAATGTTCTTCTTTAAAGAATAGGAATTTGTCACCCGTGAATAAACCTGTTTGCTGAGAGCTGGTGCTTGGGGCTGCTGCAAGAGCGGGGCCCTGCTCCTGAAGCGGCTCCCAGCAGGGCTGGGGGGCACCCGCTCTGCTGCGTCATGGCTCGCTGCACCCTGTCCCCTGCGTCCCGTCCTGCTGCATCCATCCCTCTTCCTCCTGTTCTGCTGTGTCGTGTCCTCCTGCATCCCATCCCGCTGCACCCCATCCCGCTGCATCCCATCCTGCTGTATCCCATCCCGCTGCACCCCATCCTGCTGTATCCCATCCTGCTGTATCCCATCCTTCTGCATCCCATCCCACTGCTCGCTGCACCCTGTCCCCTGCGTCCCGTCCTGCTGCATCCATCCCTCTTCCTCCTGTTCTGCTGTGTCGTGTCCTCCTGCATCCCATCCCGCTGCACCCCATCCCGCTGCATCCCATCCTGCTGTATCCCATCCCGCTGCACCCCATCCTGCTGTATCCCATCCTGCTGTATCCCATCCTTCTGCATCCCATCCCACTGATCCCATCCTGCTGCATCCCATCTCACTGATGCCATCCCGTTAATCCCATCCCGCTGACCCCATCCCACCGATCCCATCCCATTGCATCCCATCCTGCTGCATCCCATCTCACTGATGCCATCTCGTTAATCCCATCCCGCTGACCCCATCCCACCGATCCCATCCCACTGCATCCCATGCTGCTGATCCCATCCTGCTGCATCCCACCCCACTGACTCCATCCCACCCTTCTGACCCCATCCTGCAGCTCCACGCCCCTGCTGATCCCATCTCACTGGTCCTGTCCCATTGCACCCTGTCCCGTCCTACCGCCCAGGCTGCTGGGGACGCAGCACGGAGCCGGGTGCCGGGGCTGGGAGGAGG